TTTGATTTAGTTTAATTTATCAATTTTTTCTTCTGTTGCCTATGCTTTTGGTGTTATATCTAAGATACTGTCAAGTCCATTTTCCTGAAGATTTTCCCCTATATTTTGTACCAAGAGTTTTATAGTTTTAGCTTTTATGTCTAAGTCTTTGATCCATTTTGAGTAAATTTTTATGTACAGTGTAAGGTAAAGGTCCTACTTCATTCTTTTGCAGGTAGATAATCAGTTTTCCCAATTCCGTTTGTTGAAAAGACTCTTCTTTCCCCCATGGAATGGGGAAATAAACAATTCATAAGTTTTAAATTGTGTGCTCTCCTGAAATCTCACACCCTATTGCTCCATCCTGCTGGGGACATGAATCATCCTTTTCTCCAGCATATCCAGTCACTTAGTAGGTCTCTTGATTATCAGAGCGACCAGTGTGGTATTTCAGGGCTTGTGTTCAAGCAACCTGCATTTTACTCAATAATGGCCTAAAAGTGCACAATTCATTCTCCATACTTGTTATTAGCCTGTTGAGATTTTTCTATTTTTTTCATGATTAAGACTTGATAAGTTGTACGTTTCTAGGAATTTATCCTTTTCTTTTAGATCGTCCAGTTTGGTGGTGTGCAATTGTTCATAGCAATCTCTTGTTATTTTTTTGTATTTCTGTGGTGTCAGTTATAATATCTGCTCTTTCATTTATAATTTTGAGTCCTCTCTTTTTCTTGGTAAGTCTAGCTAAAGTTTGTCAATTTTGTTTATCTTTTAAAAAAAGTCAGCACTTAAATTTGTTAATATTTTATTGCTTTTCTATTCTCTTTTATTTATTTCTGCTCTGATCTTTATCTTCTTTTTTCCCCTACTAACTTTGGGCTTAATTTGTTCTTTTTCTAATTTCTTGAAGTTGTTTATTTGAGATCTTATTTTTTCTTAATGTAGACATGGTTAGCTATAAACTTCCCTCTTAAAACTGCTTTTGCTGTATCCCATAAGTTTTGGTATGTTGCATTATCATTTTTGTTTGTTTCAAGATATTTTTTAATTTCATTTTTGACCCGTAGGTTGTTCAAGAGTGTGTTGCTTAATTTCCACATATTTGTGAATTTTCAAGTTTTCCTACTGTTAATTGATTTCTAGTTTTATACTATTTGGGTCAGAAAAGATACTTGGTATAATTTCAGTATTTTTAAATTTGTTGAGACTTGTTTTGCAACCTCATATGGGCTCTGTCAAGCAGAATTTTCCATATGCACAGGAGAAGAATGTATATTCTGTTGCTTTTGGATGGAATGTTCTGTTAGGTCCATTTGGTCTGAAAAATAGTTCAAGTCCAATGTTTACATATTGATTGCCTGTCTGGGTGATCTACCTTTTGTGGAAAACGGGATATTGAAATCCCTTAGTATTATTGTATTGTTGTCTATTTATCCTTTCAGATCTGTTAGTGTTCGCTTAATATACCTACGTGCTGTGATATTGGATGTATTTTTACAATTGTTATATCCTCTTGATAAATCGACCCCTATATCATTATGTAATGACCTTCTTTATTTCTTTTACAGTTTTTCATTTAAAGTATTTTTTTTCTGACATAAGTGTAGCTATCCTTGCTCTTTTTGTTTCCATTTGTGTGGGATGCCTTTTTCCATCTCTTTGCTTTGTTCCTGTATGTGTCCTTGTAACTGAAGTGAGTTTTTGTAGGCAGGATAGATATAGTTGGGTCTTATCTTTTTTTCTATTCAGCAGCTCTGTACTTTTGATTGTAGAATTTAATCATTTACATTTAAAGTAATTATTACTAGGTAAGGGTTTATAATTGCCATCTTGGTAATTGTTTTCTGGCTGTCTTGTAGTTCCTTTTATTCTTCCTCTCTTGCTGCCTTCTTTTATGAATCGATGATTTTCCATAGTAATATACAGGTATACCTCATTTTCTTGTGTTTTGCTTTATTGCACTTTGCAGATACTGCTTCTTCTTCTTCTCCTTCTCCTTCTCCTTCTCCTTCTCCTTCTCCTCCTTCTCCTTCTCCTTCTCCTTCTCCTTCTTCTTCTTCTTCTTCTTCTTCTTCTTCTTCTTCTCCCCTCCCCTCCCCCTCCTCCTCCTCCTCCTCCTCCTCCTCCTTCTTCTTCTTCTTATAACAAATTGAAGGTTTGTGGCAACCCTCTATCAAGCAAGTCTATTGGAACTATTTTTTCCGACAGCATTTGCTCACTTTGTGTTTCTGCATCACAGTTTGGTAACTCTAACAATATTTCAAACTTTTTCATTATATTAGATTTGTTATGGTGATCTGTGATCAGTGATCTTTGGTGTTACAATTGTAATTGTTTTGTAGTGCCACAAACTGCACCCATATAAGACAGAAAATTTAATAGATAAATTCTGTGTGCTGTGACTGCTTCATAAACCAGCCATTCCCTTGTCTCTCTCCCTGTCCTCCAGCCTCATATTCCCTAAGACAGAGCAATATTGACATTAGCCCAATTAATAACCCTACAGTGGCCTCCCAGTGTTCGAGTGAAAGGAAGAGCGCCTCATCTCTCACTTTAAATAAATAACTAAAAATGATAAAGCTTTGTGAGGAAGGCATGTCAAAAGCTGAAACAGGCTAAAAGCGAGGCATCTCGCGCCAGCCAGCCAAGTTGTGAATGCAAAGGAAAAGTTTTTGGAGGAAATTAAAAGTGTTACTTCAGCGAACACATGAATGATAAGAAAGAAAAACAGACTTATTGCTGATATGGAGAAAGTTTTAGTGGTCTGGATAAAAGATCAAACCAGCCACAGCACTCTCTTAAGCCAAATCCTAATCCCGAGCAAGGCCTTAGCTTCCTTCAACTCTATGAAGGCTGAGAGAGGTGAAAGCCACAGGAGAAAAGTTTGAAGTGAGCCGAGGTTGGTTCATGAGGTTTAGTGAAAGAAGCTGTCTCCATAACATCAAACTGCACAGTGAAGGAGCAAGTGCTGATGTAGAAGCTGCAGCAAGTTATCCAGATCTAACTAAGATAATTAATAAAGGTGTCTACTCTAAGCAACAGATTTCAGTGTAGACAAATCAGCCTTATACTGGAAGAAGATGCCATCTAGGACTTTCATCACTATGGAGAAGCCAATGCCTGGCTGCAAAGCTTCAAATGACAGGATGACTGGCTCTCTTGTTCGGGGCGAATGCAGCTGGTGAGTTTAGGTTGAAACCAGTGCTCATTTACCATTCCCAAAATCTTAGGGCCCTTAAGTAGATCTATGCTGAATCTAATTTGCCTGTGCTTAATCAGTGGAATGACGAAGTCTGGATGACAGCATATCTGTTTACAACATGGTTTACTGAATATTTTAAGCCCACTTTTGAGACCTATTGCCCTGAAAAAAACATTACTCTCAGAATGTTACTCTTCATTGACAATGTGTCTGGACACCAAAGAGCTCTGATGGAGCTGTGCAAGATATTAATGTTGTTTTCATGGTTACTAACACAGCATTCATTCTGCAGCCCATGGGTCAAAGAGTAGTTTTGACTTTCAAGTCTTAGCATTTAAGAAAGACATTTCTTAAGTCTATCGCTGCCATAATTAGTGATTCCTCTGATGGATCTGGGGAAAGTAAATTGAAAGTAAATAAATAAAATCTTGAAAGAAAAATATTTATTTATTTTTAGAGAGAAGGAAAGGGAGGGAGAAAGAGAGGGAGAGAAATATCGATGTGCGAGAGATATTCATTGTCTCTCACATGCCCCCAACTGGGGACCTGGCCTCTTGCCCAAGCATGTGCCCAGACCAGGAATCGAACCGGTGACCATTTGGTTCACAGGCCAGTGCTCAGCCCACTGAGCCACATCGCCAGGGCCCAAGTAAAGATTTTTATTTTGAAGTTTGCTAAAGGTCAGAGGCATGAAATATAAGAGGCACATTTCTCATTAATTAAGATTCTTTAGGGTGAGGATTTTCCCTTTTTTATATTCATGGTTCTCTTTTTCTTTTGTTACTAATCCAATTCCTCACCACCTTCCTCGCCATCACCACCACCAAAATGAGAGAGAAACCTGGAGATGAAATTGGCATTTTAAAGTAATTTCAAATAGATTCATATATTAGGTGCTTCAAGCCAAGGGAGATTTGGAATATTAGTGTGATATAGTAAAATGTACTGTATTACAGGTAATTATGCAAATTTAGAGTATTATAAGCCAAATGTAAACACTAAAAGCCTGATTAGAGTATAAGGATATAATATATGCCAGGAAGGAATGGATTCATGTTCCAGCCAACCTGGTATTTTGTCTCTAATAGAAGTACTTAAAAATGTTAAGCAGAGTCTGGTTGCCTGTTTTGGTATCAGTAGTGAAAGATTAGAGAAGTTTAACCCAACCTGGATTTCTTGACCATAATAGGTCTATTATTCACTTATTTAAACTTTTAAAACTTATAACTAACTCATAGTTGACTAAACCGCTAACATCATTATAACACATTTCAGTTTTTACTATCTGATGTGGTAATTAGTATTTCATTTTATTTGTCTAAGTTTATAATAATTTTCAAGCTTTTGCATGTCTTTTGTAGTTCTCATATTCTATAGTTTTATGAAAAATCTATGTTCAACTTATTTATATCTTCATGATTTAGTAAATTTTTATTTCCTCTTCATCATTACTTAATGGAACCTAGATTTTATTAGACTTGTCTCAGGACACAGTTTACTTAAGAGGCATACATTGTTCTCTAGTGTCTGTATGATAAAAACATCCTTCTCTAACAAAGCACTTTTTTTTCAAAACCTTTAACAAGCTTATTTGGCCTCTCATTATTCCTGAAAGTTAGGTAAGACAGTTATGTATTTACTTACTCTGTGGCAGACAGGAATTCCTTCAGTTAGTTTTGTTTTTTTTTTTAACTGTCCTATTGAGTTCATTGATGTTAAAGTTTGAAATTATCCTCTCCAAGGGGCCAGAATCTTCCTCACTCTCCAGCATTTAAATGTATAATCCTTTTGACCTTCTGTTCCTCATGTCTCCTTGCAGCCATATGTGTCATTATCTCAGCAGATGGCACCACCTAGTCCAAGCAACAGTACCCCTAACAGCAGCAGTGGGAGCAATGGAAATGACCAGCTGAGCAAAACCAACCTCTACATCCGGGGATTGCAACCAGGCACTACTGACCAGGACCTTGTCAAGTTGTGTCAGTCGTAAGTTGGGGTATGTGTGGGTAGGCTTCCAGGGACAGTATAGATTTGGTGATAGTGGCTTCTTGTCAGATATTCTTATCCTGAAAAAAGCAGTACTATTTTGCTTCTACCTCATAGTCATAAAGTTTCTCAGCAGCCCCTCTTAAATTCTACCTGCTACTAATATATAAACCTTTGTGTTTCTCTGAGGAAAGCCAGGATAAGGCTGGCCTTTGAAGCCTAGTATATGGCTGTTTCTAGCAGTTGATGATCTAGAGATGACGATATTGGTGGACAGATTCCTATCCTTACACCTAGAAATGTTCAGTGTGTCCAAAGGTATTGATTAGAAGCCAGTGAGAGCCAGCTGTGGGGAAATAAGGAAGTGGGACCAGCCCAGTGAATTATATACTTAGGAGACTTTCTGCTGCTAGAGATATTCCCAGTGCACCAGAGGAGCCCTCAAATTAGTGGATAAAGAAGAAGGTGGAGGAAGAGGTTGTCCCTTTCCATCCATCCCCTGAAGACTTTTGGGGTTCTTCAGCGTAGATGTGAGTCATGAGATGACATAACAACCGTGGAATTAGCCCAGTTAAGAATGCTGGGGAAATGGCAAGTGTGCAGAAATGTCAGCTCATTTCCTTTTGTCAGAAAAATATCTTTCAAATAATATAGTTGGGAAAATTACTAGAGGAAAAAATCTGGGGATGGTTTGGGGACATTAATGGGGAGAAGGAAAATTGAATTTGGGTCAGTGAACAACAGAGAAAAATTGGAACCTGAGATTATGTCAATTTACCATTTAAAAAAAACTTTGTTTTGAAGTATAACAAGTGTATATAAAAATGCACAAATCATAAGTGTATATACAACAGTGAATTTCCATAAGGTGAATACACTCTTATTGTTACCAGATCAAGAAATAGAATATTATCAGCTCTTCAGAAGCCCACCTCTCAATTACACTTTCTTCCCCACCCCCAAAGGTGTCTTCTTGAATATGCATAGTGCTGCTATTAACTTGTACATGTCTTTTGGTGCACGTGTGTACACATTTATGTTGGGTATATACCTAGGAGTAAAATTGCTCATTGATAAGGATGTGCATTTGTTCAGCTTTTGTGGTACTGCTGAACAATTTTCTGAAGTCGTTAAACTAATTCAAATTCCCACAATGTATGTAAGTTCCAAGTCCTAGAGGGGCAGAACATTTGCCCCCAAATTATAGTTGTATGAGGTACTAGATGTACTCTATAAGTCCCTTACTCTCCTGATGTTGTGGTTTGCAAATCATATGGATTTTTGCCAGCTCCAGGCTAAAACAAACTCAATCTCTTATAGATGTTCGAATAAAACTGGTTCCTTTACCTCAGCTTACCTTGCTAGAAAGATATTTAAATGGAACTCAGTCTAGGATTAGTAATGTTTTGGGGGAATGGAAATTGGCAGACATGTTGGTTTATGAGGGAAAAGAGTATCGTATCAATCTAGTTCCTTGATTTCTTCACTGTGCATTTTTTATCCTAAATATTCAATATATTGTGCTACAAAAATGCTCTTTCTCCATGAGACAGAGAAAACATTCAATTCTACTTCACTATACTTTTAGGCATTCATTTTGCCCTTTCTGCTGTGTGTGAAGGCATGGAAGTAGTCAGGATGAGCATGTAGGAGGGAAGTAAGGAGTACAAAAGGGGACTGCGGAGAAGTAGGAATGAGGCTGGGAAAGCACAGGTGCAAGACGAGTTATGATGAAAGGGAGGCTGAGACGAGCAGGTGAGTAAACCCTCCTGGATGCTTTGAGCTGGGAGTTACTTCTTTCTAGGAAGGGTGTTTCCTGTGTGGAGAAGGACTTCCTGCCTTTGTCCCAGTTGTCTCTCTCTGGGTTGTAGGGGAAGCAAAAGTTGCTGGATCCTAAGCCCTGGTGGGCAGGAAGGAGAGGATAGAATCTGGGACTGGAACTCATGGTTCTCTTGGAGGGGCTCCTTCTGAGGAGGAAGCAGCAGCGCGCAGCTCAGCTGTTGCCAGCTGCCATGGAAAGTCTGAGCTCAAAGTCTCAGGCTGCTCAGACCACAGCAAGCTCCACCCTGGGGCCTTGATAGGGATAGCAGCGTGTGTGTCCTCTGGCCTAGTCTCATGCAGCTCTTCCTTTGCCTAAATTTGGGAAAGAATCCAAGTATGGAGCCCCGAAGGGCTAGGATCGCCGCATCCCCCACCCCCTTTTAATGTGTTTTTTTCCCCAGCCTCCAGGGCATTGCTTAGCTTACTCTTTCTAATTCACTGGGTCACAGAAACCCTACTGAAAAAGTCAGTGAGAGGTCGCCAGAGGAGTGAAACAAAGACATCAATCATGCTATGTTCTTTAGGGATAGAAGAGCGGTAGAAAAAAAAAGAATGCTTCTTTGGGGCATTGGCCTTAAATTCAGTCCCCACAAAGTGTTTTCAGTTAAATCTTATACTTCTAACTGTATTAGTTGTATCTGTTCTGTCTCTTTAATATTTTCACCCTCCTGAAGTGGAATGCAGAGACTTTTCTTTCTAGTGGACCACTTCTAATATAATTCCTGACCTGTGATACTTCACTGCTCAAGTTTGGGGACTCCAAATGACTCTGCTGCCGAAGTATGATTTTCAAAAAGTTGAAAAACACGACTGTCATGCAAATATAGGTGAACACACACCAAAGATTTATTCTAGTCATTCATGAGGGAACTGGCAGGCGGGTAAAACGGGTCCACAGAGCATGAGGGACAGAGCATTTATAGGATGTTGGAATAAGATTGCTTGGCTGCATACAAAACTGGTTCATATCTTAAAGAACAATTAAACAGTAACCTTTGGGAGTATCTTTTCTACTGGACAGAAATTATTTGCATTTCTACTGGATAAAAATCTGCAAGGTAATACGTATCTTCCCGAAGTCTGGGCTCTAATCAGTAATACATAGTAAGTGAAACAGAAACAGCTCACTAGATAGTGAAATACACCTCGAATGGGCCTTTTAGTCAACATTCCAGAATGACATGGAAAGGTTATGCACTCCTCTTTTTGCCTTATCGTCAAGTTTTGGATCATTTTCTTAACCCTACTGTTGCACCTGGTCTTGTGCCTACTCCCCTCCTAACACATTTAAATCTTGGCAATGATAAATAGAAGTGTTAGAATACAGGAAAGCAGGAGAGAGAGCCATTTGCTGTGGATTAAGGGTGAGGTCCCTTGAATATAGTAACAGTAACAGCAGTTAAGAATTTTTAGGTGTTTACCATGTAGTAGACCTTCTTGCTCTATATTCACTTTACATTCCCAGCAATCCTATTTCTGTTTTACTGGTGGTGAGATGGAGGCACAAAAAGGTTAAATGACTTGTCCAGGATCGCACATAGCTACAAAGTGGCAGAATGAGGACTTGAACAAAAGACATTTTGTTCAGGTTAACCTTCAGTCAGGGGCCGTTAGAGAAGTAGGGAATGGAGTGTCAGAGTAGAGAAATGTCTGTAGGTTTTTCATAGGAGGAATGGTGTTTGTCCAAAAGAAGATAAGTAACATTGAGGATCGGTTTTAGTCCTCAAGGAGCTCTAGCCTGAACTCTGCCCTTGCACACACGGTTAGGTGTGTGTCGCCGAGCTTCTTTCCCCAAAAGACAGTAATCTCCTCCCAACCAGCATCTGAGTCTTAGCTGGAGAAGAATAGAGACATGTGTTGGACTATAGGTACCTTATTTCTTCTAATCCCCACAAAGGTAGGCACCTTTGGGGATTAGGTTTATAAAATAATCATGGCATATTAAATTCATCTCTTCTTTGTTTTTATTAGTAAGTTTTGAGTAGGGCCAGTTGTCCTCGTGGGAGTGGAGAAAGAACAGGGAGTCATCCGGATGTATCAGTCCCTAAATCCCTGTCCCCAGGTTATCACTTTGCATTTTCTTCTCCCTTAGATATGGCAAGATTGTCTCCACTAAGGCCATACTGGACAAGACCACAAACAAATGCAAAGGTGAGAAAACAGCTGTTCTTGGTGATGGAGAGCAGCTGTGAGCGAGCCCACCCCTTCCTTGTCTCTGTCCTTTACTGCCGAAAGTCACGCACATCCAAGGCCAGAGAGGAGTCTCAAAGGTTTTCAGGCTTAAAAGACGAGTAGATATTTAGGTTGTTTGGAGACCAGATAGCTAGAGCCACAAATGCTATTTTGGGGGCCCCAGGCTAGAAGTCTGCACAGCCTTGGAATCCCTTGGGCTTACTTTGGACCCCATGTTTCCCTGGATTGGATGGGGAATAAGGGCAGGTGAGATAATGTCTCCTTGGCAAAGGATTGTAAATGCTTTTTGGTGGCAGTGGGCTGGATGACTTGGGAGGTATTGTTTTGTGAGGATTAAAATAATTTTGTTGGGGTTTTGAGCAGTTTTAGGGGGAGATTAAGAGCTGAAGGAAGGGAAAAGTGTAGGTTGGAGTGGGGAAGGGCTCCTTCCAGCTGGTGCCTGGTTATCTGCAATGAAGGGGCTGTGTCCCCTACATGCCTAGCATTTCTGGGGTGTGGCTAGAAAAGAGGAAGAGATTTTTTAGAAGTGGGGGGTGCTGTGGGTTAGTAGAAGAGCCTCGTTCCTGAATCCTTAGTTTTTAAGAGGGAGGGAGAAAAGCAAGGGTACCACAAGGGCCTTATTACCCCTGGGGTTTTTAGCTTTAAAGTAGACCAGATCTCACAGGGTGGGGAGCACATGGATAATGACCCGAAACCTCTTAATTTTCCTTTCTCCCCACCACCTCTCTTACATGGATGGTAACTCTTCCTCTGTCTCCTGAAAAGCCCGGGCCTCTTACCTCCCCGACACCCCCGCCTCCCAGTGATGCTCTCTCCCTGTTCCAGGCTATGGCTTTGTGGACTTTGACAGCCCTTCGGCTGCACAGAAAGCTGTAACGGCGCTGAAAGCCAGTGGGGTACAGGCACAGATGGCAAAGGTAAGGGTGCTACCCCATGTGTTTTCCTCCCAGGGGCTCTAGTTAGCAACACAGGTCCAGTTTCAAGGTTTCCAGAGCGTTTAAAAACGATAAAGTCGACAGGCAAAGGCCAGCTGCAGTGCTTTTTGACTATATCTGGCCAGAGACAGTCTGGGCCAGAGACCCAGTTAGCACCCCTTGGCTGCTAGAGGGAGACAATATTCAAAATCTGTGGTGGGCAGTTCTCTCAACTCTTTTCCTCTCATCAAGTATTATAAGCAGGGGACAGGGTCAAGAGGCTTCTTGCCTTCCCGCTGTTGTTTCCCCATCCCCGCCCTGGCCCCTCACTTTCCTACCAGCCAGCTTGTGGTAGTTTTGCCACATTGTCTGAAGAATGTCTTTTGCCATTTGTGTCTCTCAGAGGTTCAGAACAATGCCTCCACCTCCCAACTTGGTTCCCTGGGGGTGGGGGGTGGTTCTGTGTTTGGGGGTGAGGGAGAGATACCGCAGCAGGGAAGAAGACAGTCTCTCTTTCTCAGATCTGTCTCAAACCTTTATTTTCATCTAGACTACTAGGAATCCAGAGGCTTTTCTCTTCCTTCTTCTCTTACTTGGGATTGTCCCCTTGCCTTTCTGAAGCAATTGTGAATACACCATGTAGAGCTAATGAGGCAGGTCTGCCAGCCGCCTTATCCTGTGAAGGTTGAAGGAATGGAAGCCCTGAAGGGAAAGGCAGAAGAGGGGTTAAGGTTAGTGGTGACCCACAGTCTAAGGCAGAGTGACTGCTTAAATCCTTACAAATACAGCTACGGGGAGTTACAATCGTGTACACCGCGCACTGAAGGGCTCTCCCACCCACCTCTTCTTTCTGTACAGCGGAGTCTAGGAGCCTCAGTGTTCCCCTGAGACTGGAGCTCTCCGGGCTCCCTGGTGACCCAGACAGTATCCATGTGGCCCTTAGTGCAGCCCCCAGCACATCGCCTTCCCTTTCTCCTTCTCCCCTTGCTCCCCTCTTCCTGTGTTTCCCTCCATCAGGGATTGAACAGGCATTCCTGCTCAGGGAGTCTGCTGTGGCCGGAAGAAGGGGGAGGGAGGATCACTCAAAACAATCCAGCCGGGGACGAGGCAGTCCAAGAGAATCCAGCCTCCGGGACAGGCTGCTGCGGGGAGGAGGGAGTGCTGCTCTGCCTGGGTCTTAAAGAAACAGACAAAACTTTATCAGTGACTTGTAGTATGGGCTTGTAGTTACAGCATTAGTAATATTAAATCTGCATTTTTTGTTTGTTCGTTTTCTGGCCTGGATTCAGTATACAACCCATGATAATGGGACTAGGTGTTTTTTGCAAATAGCGAAGATTCTCTTTGTTTATGTGGGACCCTTCCTGCTCTCTCTTTTCTGAGATGTCATTTTGCACTGATGGTGGGAGGGGGATGAAATGGGAACTTCATTTTCTCTCCTTTATTTCCATAGCAACAGGAGCAGGACCCCACAAATTTATACATATCAAACCTCCCTCTGTCAATGGATGAGCAAGAACTGGAGGGAATGCTGAAGCCCTTTGGCCAAGTTATCTCCACTCGAATCCTTCGAGACACCAGCGGGACCAGCAGAGGGGTTGGCTTTGCAAGGTGAGGGACGCCAAGAATGGGAAATGATGACATTAATAAAGAGTGTCACTTGGGGCCCTGGCCAGGTAGCTCAGTTGATTAGTGTTGTCCCAATACATCAAGGTTGTGGGTTTGATCCCCAGTCAGGGTACATACAAGAATCAACCAGTGAATGGAACAAGAAATAGATGTTTTTCTCTCTCTCTCTCAAATCAATAAAAAATAATAATAATGTCAACTAGAAGGTCATACACACACACACACACACACACACACACATCTGTGCCCCACCCTCCCACCGGGACCAAACTATTGGCCAAAAATACTTAACTGTAAATCAAAAGTTCATCTAATTATAGGCCACAATACTCACAAATCCATTTGTCCCCAAATCTTTATTTTTGCCATGACTTCCTGCTACTCTAGCCTTTGTTCCTTTTGATCCAGACCCAACCAGACTTAAATAATTTTGTATCTTATAGTTTACGGAGTAGTTTTTCATCCTATTACCTCATTTAATCATTACTACAACCCTGTGGAATATTAATTTTCCATTTTATAGATAAAGAAACCAAAGTTCCCCAAATGAGGTGATTTGTCCAAGGTGTCACAGGAGTGGGTAGTAGAAGCAAAGCCCTGATCCTTCCAGCTTCCAGATCAGTCAGGACAAAGTGGATGTTCTGATCTACCTTTTCAGATCCATTGAGAGACTTAGATTCCAGAACCAACTCACTCTGCCACTAACTGCCCACGTGATAGGAGACCTTCCGGGGCCTTGGTTTACTCTGCGGGGATTGATTTAGATGTGTGATTTTCTTGTGTTCCCTAGCACTGCAGAACTGACCTTGTGCCCTCCTCTGAGCTTAGGTGTCATTGCTGTGGTGGGATATCAGCTCCCCCTGTCCCACTTAAGAAATGGTTATGCTTTTATTTATCTTAAGATTTTGTTTGAAAGGAGATTTTTTTTTTTCCTTTTAGTTTGAAAACTATTGGACTAATGTCCCTGTTTGTTTTATAATGTCTTGTCTGGTCCAAGAGCACTCCCCTACACTGGAGCGGTTCAGACCTTGCAAACAAGGAATACAGACAGTGTCTCTGGCCAACTCAGTCTTTGTGGTACCACCTGCTGGCGATCCCAAGTATAACTAAAGAAGTTCCTAAGCTTGTGGTCCTCAAACATTTTTGCTCCCATACTCTCTGAAAGTGGAGGTTCCTAACCTGTTTCAGATTGTGGCACTGCAGTTGTCTTAATTTTTTCCCCCAAGACCAAAAAACAAAAAAGAAAAAACCAAACAATCCCCAAAACCCTTAACAGTTCAATTTATTAGGTAATTAAATGTCCTGAACAACTCAAAAAGTGTTCATATTGTAATAATTTTGTAACTATTTGAGAAGATACATTGAAAGAGAAAATATTTTTAGTTCATCCTTAAATAATTATACTTACTAATGGGATGTGTGCCTGTTGGAGACTGCATAGCCTCTCAGACGTTGGAATCAGATTGGATGCTTGAACTTTCATCTCCTGTTACACATTGGTTTTCTTATGGTACTTGCTTTTTGTCATAGCAACTGTTGAAAAACCAGCTTTGCAAAAATACATTATCAAAAGGATTGTTGTGTGCTCTACACAGTATCTAACAGATGTTGCTGTATTTTCTTCAGAAAATTAAAGGTGTCCCTTGTTGCGCTTGTGCATGTACAGCACAATGACCAGTGAGTCTCGGAGCCCAGTTTGGGACCGTGGCTTGGAAGGCTTGAAAACCAATGAAACTCTTGCATATTTCTACATTAATACAGATATTTTCTTCATATATTTAGATTCTTTTTTAAAAAAGATTGTATTTATTTACTTTTAGAGAGACGGAAGGGAGGGAGAAAGAGAGGGAGAGAAAAATGTATGTGTGAGAGAAACATCAATTGCCTCTTGCGTACCGCCTCCTGGGGACCTGTCGCAAAATCCAGGCATTTGTCCTGATAGGGAATCGAACCAGTGGACTTTTGGTTCACAGGCTGGTGCTCAATCCACTGAGCCACACCAGCCAGGGTGATTTAGATTCTCACTGTGTGATTTCCAGCAAATTATAAACATTGATATTTTAAATCAAACTGTCACATCATTTTTCAGTGCATCCAAATGAGATCTAAATGTCATAGCAATTTGATACACAAAATCTTCCATTTTGAAAATACATAAGGCATTTCTTTTTAAATAGTTATAACTATTACATCTTTCTTATAATGTTCCTTTTTTCCTTCTTGATCCTGTATTTTTATTTCATTTGCATTATATTCTAGTGTAAAACATTTTTATAATTGCAAGTCTTTTTGTGGATCATTCTGTCATACTTCTCTGCAATAAAAATATGTATATAAGTTAATTTTTTTCCCAGTGGCCATGAGGCTATATATGTATTAACCCATAAGAAAATCCTCTTCATAATTTTTAGTTCACAGTTGCCCAAAACAATATAAATATATTTAAATATTGATACAAAAATTTCTTATTGGAAATGCTTCTCCTATGACATGAATAAGTATAAGTTTTATTTTGTTTAAATTTTTCTAATTAGGTTGTGTAGCCATCAGTGAATATTGTGTATTGCTGTAACAAGACTGGGTTTAGTATCAGTTCTGTTCCTGTTTTTTGTTTTCATGCTGAGAAACTTTGTTCACATACATAAATAAATGGAAATGGAAAGAGCTTTGTTAAAATAAGAATTCTTTGAATTCCTTTTGAATCATTTGCCAAGAACCAGGATAATCTATCATCAAAATTGATTTTTTTATGTGTCATTTGACACCTTGTTGAGTCTTCCAGCTTCTGTTGGAAGGAAGAATTAGGACCATCTAACTTACCAAAGGGTCACTGCCTTGCCTTGCGTTCTGGGATGAGTGTGAAGCAAATTGAGAGGAGTGGCTGTGAGAGGGGCCTTTGGCTTTGATCACCGATCAGGACCAATTCCTCAGGCAGGTCGGTTTTAGGAAAAAGTTTATGGTTAAGTTGAGGTTCTTAAAGCGATTCTCTTGAAACTCTCTCTGTCTGCTGAGCCTTTTGGAAAGACTAAGGAGTAGGAGTAACCCAACTAAAAACTTCTGCTCTAGGCTCTCTAACATGCAGTTTTCTCTATAAGGTTTCATTTGAGGCCTTTTATAGTGACCGCCTTCATAAGAGTGGTTTATATTTTTAGTGGTTATTGGCATAGAAAGTATACGGAGACTTACTCTAAATATGGAAAGAGAGGAAGATACTGTATTCCATAGATCCTTTCACTTTTTAGAACACATTTATGTAGATTACCTTTTTGATCTGGATAATCCTGTGTAGTGGAGTAGATGATAATTTCTCTAAAGCGGAAATGGGGAATGGGTCCAAAGGGTGTTTGTGCACGTCCTAACTCACAGAGCTTTGGGACGTAAACAGGAGCCGGAGTCCAGATTTCCTGATTCCTTATGCAGTCCTCTTTGCCTAACAAGATACTTTAACTCAGTATTTCCCAACATTGTTTTTTCTATCACTGTGGACCATATAAACCCTGTCTTATTACTGCGTCCTCCTACAGACTTATGAAATCTTAATGATGTTATAGTAGCTCATTAGATGTTGGTAAATAACTAGAAGCAAAAAATAAACATTGACAAATTCTTAGCTTGCGTAGTTTTGTCAGAGTGAGGGAACAATTTCCATTAGGAATTTTGTAATAAAAAGTAATGGTAACAGCCTCTTTTTATTGTGTTTTTATTTATGAACCAGACACAATACTAGGCCCATCCATCAGTATCTTCTTTGGAATATGTATTCATAGCTTAAAGACTTCCATTATTCCTTCCAGGACCCCTTTCGGAGCCTGTCTAGAGAACCTTCTTTAGAAGCCAGGGTTGCCTCTTCAGAATGTCTTGAATTTGTGTGGAGGAAACTCTGTGCTTCTATAGTCACAACTTTCAGAGCATTTGTGGGGCTGGGAACTTAGGGCATTCTTTTTGAACGTAGGGAGAGCACAGATCCTGCAGAAGCTAGAGCCTAACGCCTCTTGTGCTCCTTAGGATGGAGTCCACAGAGAAGTGTGAAGCCATCATCACCCACTTTAATGGAAAATATATTAAGACACCCCCTGGAGTACCAGGTGAGGCATCTGGGAATCAGACTGAGAGGGCCATAGGTTGTTACTTCCAGTGAAGATTCTGGAGGAGTTTGGCATGAGCGTGAGTGGGCTGAGTGAGGTAGGACTCAGCTGCCTGTCTGCTTTCTCTCTTGGCAGCCCCATCTGATCCTTTGCTTTGCAAATTTGCCGATGGTGGTCCAAAGAAACGACAGAACCAAGGGAAATTTGTACAAAATGGACGGGCCTGGCCAAGGACCGGAGACATGGTAAGAGGACTTCTGAGGAGATAGGAGTACTATGGATATTAAAATGGAATGGAAATTACCATGGCCTGATTTCTGTGAACTTAGGTGGCAAGCTTGAGAGCTACAGTTTGTAACCGAGAGAAGCTGGCTACTTAACATGCTGTTCACTGTGGGTCTTGAGTGGGATTTTGCAGCTGCACACCCAGAAAAATTCTGGAACAGCTTGTTCAGACTTCACTTTAATCAGTCGAACCAAATGCATCCCTGCCCTTGACGTCCTGCACTTGCTCCTGTTCTTATCCAAGAGCTTACAATATGAATGCTGTGTTCTTTCTTCATAGGGTGGGATGGCCTTGACCTATGACCCCACTGCAGCTCTTCAGAATGGGTAAGGGTATTTTATATAATCAAGCCAACTGAAAATGATAACAGCCTATGTCCAGGCACTTGGATGTTTCATCTTGATTTTTAAACAGCACTTAGTGGGTGGCTGTGTCTATTAGTGGGAGGCCCTTTCTGATTTCCTGTGACTCCTTACTGATGAGGTTCCTTCCTGCAGGTTTTACCCAGCTCCTTACAATGTCACCCCCAACAGGATGCTTGCTCAGTCTGCGCTCTCCCCATACCTTCCGTCTCCCGTGTCTTCCTATCAGGTATGCTCCTGCCCGAAAAGGGCGTCGTGTATTTTCCCTATCGTTGTGCTTTAAGTAAAGGACTATAAGGCTGGATACTAGTTTGTTTTTCCTTTGAATGCATCACAACAAATAACCTTGCATGAAAGCATTCACATGTGGTCACATTACACTTTATATAGATGTTGTAGGAGCTTTGTCTCACTCTCCGCCCCCTGTCCCCACGAGTAAATCCATATCAATTTACTACTATTTTCCCTATTTTTCTTCATGTGCTTATATACATATGTATATGGTCTCTGGAAGTTACTGTTTAGTTTATTAAAAAATTGACCATATTAAGTATATTTTTCATACTGTACTTTTCTCACCTAACAGTACCTTAAACCAGTGATTCTCCAAGTGTAGTCCCTGGGCCAGCAGTGTCAGCTTCACCTGGGAATTTTTAGAAACAACAAATTCTTGGAGTCCACCCCGGATCTACGGAATGAGAAGCTGGTGATGGGTCCCAGCAGTCTGAGTGATTCTCAGAAGCCCTCTGGGTGATTCTGATGCAGCTAATGTTGGGATCTCTGTTCTCATTATTTTCCTGCTTATTATTTTTTAAAATGATTTTACTTATTTATTTTTAGAGAGGGGGGAGGGAGGGAGAAAGAGAGGGAGAAAAACATCAAGGTGTGGCTGCCTCTCACGCACCCTCCCCAGGGACCTGGCCTGCAACCCAGGCATGTGCCCTGACTGGGAATTGAACCAGCAACCCTTTGGTTTGCAGGCCAGCACTCAATCCATGGAGCCACACCAGCCAGGACTATTTCCTTTTTTAATGGTTGCATTAAAATCGTGCTGGAGACATACCAGAATTCTTTTTCTTTTAATTAAAAAAAATTTTTATTAATTGATTTGAGAGAGAGAGAGAGAGAGAGAGAGAGAGACTGCTTTATTGTTCCACTTATTTTTGCATCTGTTGATTGATTCTTGTCTGTGCCCTGACCAGGGATGGAACCCGCAACTTTGGTGTATCCAGATGATGCTTTAACCAACTGAGATACCTGGCCAGGGCCAGAATTCTCTATCTATACCCCAATGAAGGTCATTCACTTGGATTTCAGTGTTTTTCTGGAACAAATAATGCTTCAGTAACTTTCCTTATGCAGTAAACATCCTCGTACTTCTATGCTTGCATGTATAAGTACTTATGTTTCTGGCGGCTGATGTCCGTGAAGTAGGATATTTATTTGAATTTATGTACTTTCAGTTTTATAAATGTTGCAGGAGTGCTTTTCACAAAGGCTGTGCCAATTCATATTCCCACTAGCAATGTGTGAGAGTAGTACCTGTTTCCCTCCAGCCATGGGTGATATTGCTCTTTTTAATATTTTCCTGTCTTGATGGATGTAAAGTGCATTATGACTTTAATTTGCACTTCCCTGAATGCAGCTTAGATTAAGCATTTTTAATGTTTGTCATATTTTGATTTGCTGTTCTCTGATTGCTTTTCATATGCTTGGCCCAATTTTCTCTTTGATTTTTGTAAATTACAAATATTGATCCTCTGAATGTTATCTTTGTTACAAATGTTTTTTTCCAATGTTTTGTCCGTTGACTTTGTTGTGGTCCTTCAAGCTTTAGCTGTACATCAGGATCACTTGAAGAGCTTGTTAAACCTAGGTTACTGGGTGCCACACCAAGACTACCTGATTCAGTAAATCTAGGGTGGGAGGCAAGAATTTGTATTTCTAACAAGTTCTCGGGTGCTGCTGCTGCTACTGTTGCTCGTCCAAGGACTACACATTGTGAATCACTGTCGTGCCATGCAGGAGTTTAAAATTTGTATGTAGTTAAATATATCTGCTTTTTTACTCATGACTTTTGAATTTCTTGTCTTAATTCAAAAGATCTTCCTAGTCCCTGTATGGTAAAGATAGTCTTCAAGATTTATTTCATTGTTTTATATGTAAATGGATAACCATCAGGAATTTATTTTTGTATATGGTAGAAAATAGGGGTCTTATATTTCCTTTCAAAATGTTAACCAATTGTCCTAGAAGCAAATTATTAAATAACCCATTCTTTTTTTTTTAAAGGAAATTGTTTCATTTACTTTTTTAAAAAAAGATTTGATTTACTTTTAGAGAGAAGGGAAAAGTGGGGAGAAGAGAGGGAGAGAAACATCAATGTGTGAGACAAACATCCACTGGTTGGATGTCCATCAGTTGCGGCTTGTACACCCCCAACCAGATGCTTGGACTGCAACCCAGGCATGTGCCCTGACTGGGAATCAAACTGATGACCCTTTGGTTCTCAGGCCGGCACTCAAGCCACTGAGCAACACCAGTGAGGGCAAAAAATCCATTCTTTTTCCATTGAATTGAAATGCCACTTTTGTCATATAATAAATACTAGGATTTAGCCCTGGCTGGTGTGGCTCAGTGGATTGAGTGCCCGCCTGAGAACCAAAGGGTTGTTGGTTTGATTCCTGGTCAGGGCACATGCCTGGGTTGTGAGCCAAGTCCCCAGTAGGGGACGCAAGGGAGGCAACCTCACATTGATGCTTCTCTCCCTCTCTTTCTCCTTCCCTTCTCCTCTCTCTATAAATAAATAAAATATTTTTTAAATTTATTTATTTATAGAGAGAGGGGAAGGGAAAGAGAAACAGAGGGAGAGAAACATTGATGTGTGAGAGATACATCGATCAGTTGCCAGTTGCTTGCCCCCAACTGGGGACCTGGCCCACAACCCAGACAGATGCCCTGACTGGGTATCAAACCAGTGACCTTTCAGTTACCAGGTCAGCACTCAAGCCACTGAACCACACCAGCCAGGGCTTATTTCTGTATTCTTTATTCTCTCCCAATGATCGTTGTTTCCATTTCTTTTCCAATAATATATTAATTTGATTTCAGTGGCTTTCATAATATGTTCTAATATTTGATAAAGCAAACTCTTCTCCACTCTTTCTTTTTCATACTTTGCTATTTTTTAGCATTTATTCTTCTGTATAAAGTTTGTGGTCATTTTATCTAATTTTTAAAAGTCTCTGAGGATTTTAATTGGAATTACATTAAATATATATATATATATATATATATATATATATATATATTAGTTTCAGAGAATTGATGTTTTTAAAAGTACTAAACTTTTCACCCAAGATAGGGTACTTTTTTCATGTTTTAAAATCTTTTTTTATGTTGCTCAATAAGATTTTAGTTTTGTTTATGCAGGTTTTATGCTTTTCTTGTAAAATATATTCCTAAGTGTTCTATAATTTTTATAAGCATTCTTTTTTAAAAAAATATTTATTTATTTTTAGAGAGAGGGGAAGGGAGGGAGCAGGAGAGGGAGGGCAACATCAGTGTGTGGTTGCCTTCTCGCGCACCCTGACAGGGGGCGAGGGCGGGGACCTGGGCCACAACCCAGGCCTGTGCCCTGACTGGGAAGTGAACCTGCGAGCCTTTGCTTTGCAGGCCAGTGCTCAGTCCACAGAGCCACCCCAGCCAGGTGTTTATTTTTCTTTTTTAAGATTTTATTAAGCATTTCTTAATACACTTATTGAATCACTGAAAATAAGCTATTGATTTATGTTCATCTATTTAGTATGCAGCTAACGTACCAAATCTTCTTATCACTACTAGTATTTTTTTAAGTTGAGTCTCTTAGGTTTTCAAGGGATGCAGCTCTGTCATCACTGCAAAACAGGAGTTTCCCTTCCTTTCCAATTTTACGCCAATTGTGCTCTTATCTAATTGCATTTATTTGACCTTACTATAAGAAAGGTTACTATAATTGCAATGGTTTTAATATTTCTCTGTTTAGGATAATGTTAACAGCTAGTTTTTGGTAATAATATTTAATATATGTAAGTAGTTTCTTTCTAGTCCCTATTTTTACTTTGTGATTTTTAAAAAATAAATGGCTGCTGAATTTTATCAAATGTCTTTTCAGCATCTAGCATTATACAATGACCTTTTTCTTTAATTTTGACTTACGTGTATAGAGTTTCTAATCTTGAATAATCCTTACATTTATGGAATAAACCATACTTGTTTATTATGATGTGTTTCTAACTTCTCATTGCTAATTTTTTTCATTTTAAAATTGAGGTATAATTCACTTACCATAACATTCAAAACATTTTTATCACCTCAGCGAGAAACTTTATACTCATAAGTAGTCATTCGCCATTCTTCTTTACCCCCAGCTCCTAGCAACCACTAATATACTTTCTATGTCTATAGATTGGCCTATTCTAGACATTTCATAATAAATGGAAGCATACAATATACTTGTGCCTGGCTTCTTTCAGTTAGCATGTTCTTGAGGTTTATCCATGTTGCAGCATGTATCAGTACTTCATTCCTTTTTACGACTGAATCATATTCCATTGTATGGGTAACACCTCACTTTGTTATTCATTTATCGGTTGATAGCCATTTGAGCTGTTGCCACCTATGGGCTATTATGAATAAGACCGTATGAATGTGTTAACATATACTTTTATTTTTCTTGAGTATATATCTAGCAGTGGAATTGCTGGGTTGCACAATAAATGTTTAATTTTTTAAGGAACTGCCAGACTGTTTTCCAAAGCTGCTGAATCATTTTACATTCCCACCTGCACTGTACAGGGTTCGGCACAAATAACACCCCTTTTTTATCACAAAATCATAAGCATGTAATCCTGTAACATAACAATATCACACTCAACACACCATATGACATTTTAGGTGAAATGTTCAAATTAAAGCTATAAATTATGACACCCATATTATTACCCTACCAACCACACTCAAGCAGGCCTTACTTCTGCTGCACCCTGATAACGCTTGCTATTCTGTCCTTTTAATTATGATTGTCCTAGTGGGTGTGGAGTGGCACCACATTGTGTTTTGGATTTGCATTTCCCCAGGGGCTAATGATTTTGTGCCTCTTTCATGTGCTTATTAGCCATTTGTATATCTTCTTAGAAAAATATTTATTTAAATCCTTTGCCCATTTTTATTTTTATTTTTTCGGTTTTATATAGAATCAATCGCTATTTTGTTTTTTTTAATAAATACGCAATAGCAATGGCTATGTTCTCACTTCCCTTGTGCAACACCAACATCAGCGACAAACCTCCATATACACGAGAGGGTCTGGGATGGACAGTTAAAATGGGGCATACATGGCATTGAGCTAAGGACAGGGTAAGGCGCTTTGGGGGCTTTCCGAGGGTCAGTGCAGGACAAGAGGAAGGGCAGGTGTTGAATAGTTAGTGGCTTGCCTTGTCCTGTAGGTAGAGAGAAGTTATCTCTGATAATTTCTCATTCTGGGCAAGGCCCCTCATTCAAGTTCTTCTAGAGTTAAATAAAGGGCAAGAGGGGCAGGAGTTTCTCTTGTCGGGTCTCTGTTGTCTTCAGCTCAAAATAACCTGCACACCACAGGGGCACATCTGAAGGTGACTTGTTCTGAACCCCTACACAGGTTAAACTGTTAAGGCTTCGGGCCCCGGGTTGACCATTTTTAAACTGGGTTATTTATTGATATTTATTGAGGTGTAAGTTGCTAATATTTTTTTTAGACCTTATTTATTTATTTCTAGAGAGAGGGGAAGAGAGAGAGAGAAACATTAGTGTGTGGTTGCCTCTCGCATGCCCCCAACTGGGGGCCTGGCCCACAACCCAGGCGTGTGCCCTGACTGGGAATCGAACGGGTGACCCTTTGGTTTGTCGGCCGGCAGTCAGTCCACTGAGCCACTGCAGCCAGGGCAAGAGCTACTGATGTTTTTCAAGCAGTTAATTCTTGGTGTTTCTGTTTTCTGATGGGGCACTCCACCTTTTTGGGGGTTTTATTTGAACATCAGATCCTTGGGCAAAACAATAGTTTCTAGGCAATTAACATTTTTGTTTGTTTATTTTTTCGTGCATTAGAGAGTAACTCAGACATCTCCTTTACAAGTACCTAACCCATCTTGGATGCACCACCAGTCATACCTCATGCAACCTTCAGTGAGTATTCAGAACTGGGCAAATGCCAGAGGCAATTTCATGTAAAGAAGAACACTGGGAAGGGGGCTAATTATATAGGGACGGAAGATGATTTGACACTGGGTGGTGGGCACACAATGCAGTCTAAAGGTTATGTATTACAGACATGTATACCTGAAACCTATATGACCTTATGAAGCAATGTCACTGCAATACATAAAATAAAATAAAAATTAAGAAACACTGGGAATTGATAACAGAGGATGTGGGTGTGAGTTCTGGCTTAGGCCCTTACGCAACCCAGGGATATGACCTTAAATTTTTTGAGTTTGTTATTCTTAGACAGGGATCCCTCTAGACTGATGGGCAGAGTGCCTATTACTGTTGCATAACTGGGTTGCCGCTCATCGCTCATTTCCCAGGATTTTCAAGTGGCCCTGGTAGCCATGAATCACTGCTTCAGGGAGCCTCACAGGACGCTGCCAACTAAATCATGTCCTTTGTCTTTGCCTCTAGGGTTCAGTTCTAACGCCAGGGATGGATCACCCCATTTCTCTCCAGCCCGCCTCCATGATGGGACCTGTCACCCAGCAACTGGGCCACCTCTCCCTCAGCACCACGGCCCCGGTAAAGCGGGACACTTCTGATTATAGACCCCTACCGAGGAAGGAGCACCTGTGCGCTACTTTTCAGCACTAATACTTGTACATGGTGATAAGAACCACTCCAGTGTCATTGAGGGCACACTCAGAATCAGAGATAAACTAAAAATGTAATAATCTATGAGCCAGGAATACAGCCATTATGCTCCCAAGCCCACTCCTTTTAACTGATTCCTACTCACGAAACTAAACAGTATTTCTATCTACATACTAGTTTATCTAAGAGTTCATTCACATTCCCTAGGAATCCTTATCAAAATAGGAACAAGAAAGAAAACTGGATGGAGCTCGTTAGGTTTCCTGTAGGTCTGCTACATTCTGATGTGCACAGGAGGGCTTAGAGGCAGAGAAGGCAGCACATGAGGAAAAGCAGAAGACAGGACAGATGAGAAAAGGAAGTCATTTATGTAGAAGTCTCCCTAAGCCAGCATTCTTTAGGACCACTACCTGGAGTGGTTTGAAAAAGCACAATTAAATTAGAATCTCTGGGGATTGAACAGAGGTATCAGTAGTTTCTAAAGCTCCCCAGGTGCTTTAAATGTAGCCAAGGATCACTACCCTAAGCCTATTGATGTTTTTCATTCTAGTATATGCCAACGGCTGCAGCTATGCAAGGAGCTTACATTTCCCAGTACACCCCTGTGCCTTCTTCCAGTGTTTCGGTTGAGGTGAGAGCTGCATAATCTCTTTGGATTAAAGATAAGAAAATGAACAGAGGCAGATTTTCCCTGTTCAAGATCTTCCTCTCACAATGATGCTAATTCTATGTTCACAAATAGCTGGTTGGTATGTGAAGAATGTGGCAAGGAAAGACTTAGTTTGTATCCTTGAATGAGGCTTTTCCTGACATTTGGCCAGATAGTAAATCCCAGGAGAGTAAATACTGGTGTTTCGTGGGAGGAGAACAGGCTGCTCTAAGTGTTGGGAAAGTAATGCCGCGTGTGTGAGTACCTGTGTGCTGCGTGCACGTGCATATTAACACTGGGGGATGGGAGTGGCTAGGCTGGGGAAAGGCACTCAGGTCTGGGTGGGCTTTAGCCAGGCTGCTTTCCTGGGAGGTGAAGTAAGGGTGCACGGGGCGACTCTCCTGCTTTGGCTGTGGTTGCAGGAGAACAGCGGTCAGCAAAATCAAGTGACTGTGGATGCTTCCTCAGACCATGGGGTCTATTCTTTCCAGTTCAACAAGTAACAGTGGTAAGAATCACATGCTGAGGGGCAGGGTGTGCTGAGCAGCCTGAAGTCAGACAGGGTCTCATGTTTGTCATCCCCCCTTCCCTACTCTCTGGTTTATTTCTCCTTTAGGATTTCCCTCCCCATTTTGTTGAATACAAATGAATCCTTGGAGATGCTGATGGCCCCAGACGCTAGAAGGCTAACCAGGAGACCTAACACTTGGCCATCGTTTTTCACAGGCCTGGGCCTGAAAAGGAGAACTCTGCACTCCTGTCCTCTGCTGTTCCTCCATTCCTGGTGGAGCCCGGGGAAACCGTCACTTTGTGTGTGTGCTGCATTCAAGGAAATCAAAGAAAACTCCTATGTTTCTTTTGCAAAGGAAGCTTTATGTTTTGTTTTTAACTGCAGTATGCTCAGCCCCAACCCCAAAGAGACATGGTACCTGGAGCTTCTTCTCATCTTTATGAAAAACACTTATTGAAGTGTTGAAGTTATTTGGGAAGGCTTAAAAAATATTTTTTGTTGTTATTTCTTCTCTTAAAAAAAAAAAAAAGGTGTGGGGCCAGGACATTGAAGGGGTCCTGCTGTGGGCCCTTCTCACAGAGATTGGTCATGCACTTTTTTGGTGCATGTAATGCAGAGTTTAAAAATTTTGTTTTATAAAGCTCTTAACTCATACATCCTGTCTTTTCTTCTCACATTTTATGCCTTCTTTCTCTCATCCGGATTTTTCTTCTTCTCTTTTCCATACAGCAAAACATGCCTATTTCACCTTTTTACAGTTTTTAATTTTGTGAGTTTCTCTTTTGAATGAAATTTTCATATGGAATTTTTTAGGGCTGGAAAAGGAACAAGGCAGAACACTAAGCATGCGGTGGAAGTGGTTTTTCTTCCCTCTGTCCTGCCACATCCTGTGAGAAAAGACAAGACTTTGTCTTCAGGAAGCAGAGATGTGACCTAGGCTCACTGAAGAGACAATCCCACAGCCCTTGGAAATCATGCTGGAGCCAAATTTGGAAGAAGACTAGGTCTCCCCTTGCAAGTTCCCTTAACGAAGGGTGGACTTAACGGACTTCTGACATTCTTCTCACTGCCAAGGCCAACACCCCCTGAGGAAGTGTCTTCTCTAGCTACAGCTTTTCAAAAATACCTGCTTTCCTGCTTCCTAGAGGATCTTCTTACCTGCTCTGGCCTCAGAGGCCCCTTCTCCTTTGCAGCTGTGACCTTGCTGAATCCACTCAGGCTCCTTCCCCACTGTGGGAGGTTGGTCGCTTCGCTTCTAGACTGGTGGTTCTCATGGAGATAGTTTTGTCTCCTGGAGGCCATTTGGCAATCTCTGGAGACATTTTTGACTGTTGTGCCTGGGGGTGGAGGCTGTGTGCTACTGGCATGCGGTGGCTATAGACTAGGGATGCTGCTAAACATCATGCAGCGCACAGGAACCCAGCGCCCCCAACAAAGAGTTATCCGGCTCAAAATGTCGGTAGCACCAAGGTCAAGAAACCTTGATGGAGATAGTGTTTTCCCTGCCTCCTGATCAGAGGATTTGGTAAATTCCGACTCCAGCCCCGGACACACAGCGCCTTTTGAGACTCCTGCAACTAGCTCAGAGAGACAAAAATGGAGTCCTTGACGTTTCCTCAGGCTTTGACCTTTGACACCTCTGCATACCCTTGAAAGGCTTGTGCTATTATGCACACACACACACATTCAGAGGAATCAAGGCGGGGACTGTTTGGTGTGTGTTGTGCAGGGATAGGAAAGGCAAAGCTGTCCAGGGCAACCTGTCCTGCCTTCATCTGTTTGGGCCTCTCTGCCAGGGAACCAGTAATTTTCCTTCTTGTGGAAAGACAATGGAGCTAGGATAGAAAAGGGCAGTAAATCCCATCTCATTATTTACAGTATCAGGAGTCCTGTAAGAAAAAGCCTGTATCTTCTCTTCAACTCCATCTCCTTCTGCAAGTCCTCACTCTATGCACCTGGAGACAGAGAAGAGCAACCTTTTGCCCACCTTCTAGGAAATGATTCTTCACCTATCTTCTCCCAGTCCCTCCCTTATTCATGGAAGGGAGTTCTGCTCTGCCTCACTTCAAGGTCAGGTGCCTTTCCACCAGACAATCAGACCAAAGGTCAGATGACAGAGACTGGAGAAACAGGTGCTCATTAGGCTGGCTGGCAGGAGAGGAAGGATATGATGTCGGGGGGTAAAGAAGTTTATCAGTTGTACATAAAGCTTGGGCCCAGCTTTCCCTCCCCACCCACCCATCTCAGAATCGAGAGACCAAATGTTCCCTATCCTTAAATTGCCTTTTTGTACATCCTGGGGGTGAGTGGGGGGAAATGGAGAGGATATAAAGTATAAAGAACAAAATTGCCACTGTTAATTTTCTCATGGGTTCTTCCATCCTCAGGAAGGGCTCATCGAATATAAAACAGCCCCAAGCTCAATAACCTTCTAGAAGGGTTTAGCTGGGCAGGTGGCTCATTTCCTACTTAAGGACAGGACACTGCAGATTTCTTGTCAGTGGCTTTGAGGAAAGAGAGGAAACAGATCTAGAATCCTGTTCATTTGATAGTAGCTTGGAGGAGCCTTACCATGTGAGGTGATATGCAGTGGGGACCTTTCACACACGGAAACTGTTGATGTCACTGCTGCCCCTGCTCTGCCTCCCAGACCTGGTTCTGTCTCTGTATTTAAAAAAAAAAATGTTTAAATGTCTGTGACTTTGCTTTGTTAAATTCTGAAACGACCTTGTGTGTTCTCCTCATGTGAATCTACTTCATGAATTGTCGCGTGTTTCCGGTTTAGGCAAGGTTGGTTGGTCACGGGAAGTGATGGGGAGCCTGGAGTTATTTTGGTGGTGGTTAATGACAGCGTGGAACTTTTTTGGTGTTTTGGGGTTATGCTCATAATACCTTCCCCTAGTTGTTAGTTCATTTCTAACAGTTCAAACATGGGTGAGTGATTAGATAAAGGAGGGAAGGAATGAGGAATACTGTTTCTCTCATGAAATAGCCTTGTGGTGCTACGGGGACTCTAAGGGAGCCTTCGACTTCACAGCCTAGGGCCAGGCTCTTTAAACATCACTGCCTAGTGTTTTCTCAATTGTCTCCTTGGAGCCCAGGTGATAGTTTCTCTTCACCTCTCATCTCCACTCATTACATATGCTCCTAACATCCTTAAAATATTTTCGTACTTTGTATTTTTGTTTTCAGTCAAATAGAACATACTCAAGTACCTTCCTCAAATGGTATAGTCCTTTACTAGGCTCAGAGCCTGCCTGTCCCACCTCATGCCAGTGTCACTACTGTTCTCACACTGAGCAGATGCTAGGCTGACTAGACTTTTTGGAGTTTGGGGAGAGGTTAGGGAAGATGTGGGAATGATGGTGGGTTGAAATGTTATTTTTTAACCAAAGAATTTGAAGATCTGCCCTGACTTGGAAGCCTGGTGGCTCTGAAGCAGTAGCCCTTAGATAAGGGTCATAGGAAGACATCAACTTGCCCTGAGGGTGAAAGGTTTTGCTATGCTACAGCCCATCCTGGGTTAAGCCACTTCAAGCCAGTTTCATTTCAACTTATGATCAGTGAGCTCGTTCATCCCCTTGGTACCTGCAATGCTTACTCCCTGCTGCTTCAGTCTCAACCCTTTGGGGGCTTACATGCCGGTTGGTACTTTGCAGTGCAAAGGTGCTGTGAGAGGATTTGCTGGAATGGAATGTTGTAGTTATTTCTGGGCAGAAATCTAGTTTTCTTGCGGGGTGGGGGGGTGGGGGTTAGGGAATATCATTGCTGCTCTTGCACATGTGCTCCACCTTCTGGAAGAGCAGCAGCATTGTACTCTCAAGGCTACTTTGACCTTCTTATTCAAGGAGAATAAACTTGGATGGGTAATCAGGTCTACACTTGTCCCCAGGCTCTCTGATACATTAGCTTCAGAGAAAAGGGTGGATTTCATGAAAGGCCAATCTGTAAGGGCTAGGGCTTAAATCTTGTGCCTTGTCATACTGATTCTTCCCAATTCCCTCTTAAGCCAACTACTCCATTTCTATGCTTAATTGCATTTTAGGTCCTTCCAAGTATTAGCAGATCGCTCATAGTTACTCAGCTTCCACCCCTTCCTTTCATAGGAGGAACCAAGGCATAAGCACCTGGTTTACATATTTCCTTTATGACTTTGACTGAGGGGGCTGAAAAGGTTCATGATCAAGTGCAAAAGCTCTTTTGGTTGTTTCTGGTTACCTTAGAGTTGTGTGAGCTCTTTAGTTAGGTCTTGCTGTAGTAGGCCAGAGAGTAAACTGTATAAATGATGATCTGGCCTAGGATATTAACTGATGCTTGGAAGTCACCCCCAGGAACACCAACATTGGAGCAAAGCTCAGAATTTAGGAAGATGAATTGGCCAGTGGCTGCCATATAGCTAGGAAGGTAAGCAAGCACCAAAGAGGGCATTTGTAATTTTCATAGGGCTGGAAGTAGATGTTCCTTCTTCATCTCATTCCAGTTAGTTTAGAGGGTTCACCAAAATAAAACTTCTAGCCCAGAGGGTGGTAAGATTTTCTAGCCTGAATAAAGTCCTCACCCCAATACTGGTGTCTTATCCCCGAACACATTGTTTTTGGGTGGTGAGTGTTCTCTTGCATGCACTTATCACCTTGGACAGGAAAAAAGTTTAATTTATATTCAAGCACATTTTGTACATTTTTCCTTTATCCAGAGGCTTCTGGTTTTATCCTTTTCCCATGTCGATGCCAATGCCTCCCATCTAGTTTACTCTTCCTTTTCTGATCCTTGGTATTCTCCTGTTCCTTCCCTACAATTTGTAAAGCTTCATTTTGTCTTATTCAACCTTTGTTTTGAAATAAAGCACAAACATCTACCTCCTGGTGTCTTATCCATGGGTGAAAGCTGGGAAGTGGGTAATGGGCCCATGCTTGCTACTATGAGAATACAGGTGGCAGCTTAGGAAGCCAAAGTCGTGTCTCATGAGGGAGGACCAGGCAGTGGATCCCACGTTGCCCCAGCACCTTGGCCAGAGGCACTAAGACCCCAATCCATCCAGAGAGACATTCTGCCCTGGATACCACCTATGCAGGAAAGGCCATGCTTGGAAGTTTGGGATCACTCTGGATGATTAAAGGCATATTGCTGTCCTGCCTGCTATCTCCTGCACCAAACCAGTCATACTTTAATATCCAGCGTTCCCCTTAGGCAAGTGAGAAAACCTTCGTTGAGGGAGAAGATAAACACACAGAGTCTTCTGAATCTCTATCAAATGTGGTTTTTATTCAACTGACAAGCACTTTTCTACAGCTGCACTTGTGGAACATCACATGGCAAAAACAGGAGTTTTTTTCTCTAGACTTTTTTTTCCCTTTTTTAACCTTATTAAAAATGAGATTGGTCCTAAAAATATAGAAAGAAATAAATTTAAATTCACAAAAAACTGTACATTATCAAAAAGTCACTAAAACACCACATTTGGTTATATAAAAAGTCAAGTCCCTTCTGATGTAAAAGGAACATGGAAACTTGTTGGTGTTGATGGTGTGGTTTCTTCCTGTTACCAGACTGATAGGGGGAGGGGAAACAGAAGGGTAGGGGGTGGGTTCTTTTTTTTAACCTGCCTTCCCTAC